AGTGTGAGGAGACCTGAAAGTGGCACATTTGGGGCATGATTCATGGGCGGATTTAGTCAGTTGTGTCAGGAACTGGTGGTTTGAAATCCAGACTAATCCACGCCTGATTCATTTTCACAAAACGTGAGTCTCTCCACACTTTGGGTTAGGGGCAGTCAGTCCTCCGCGGAGTTACAATACCTCCCCGCACTAAACACGCGCTCCGCAGTGCCACGCTACTGGCCGGGCATGGCATGACAGCCTTTCAAGGGCAAATTCAGCTAGTTGGGGCCAAAGGTCAAGTTTCGGGCCCAGTAGTCAAGGGGATTGTCTACCTCGGTTGGCAGGGTGCTGTCCAAGTAGGCCCCAGCCTGTTGTTTGAGGTCCTGCTCCAGGTCCACCTGATGCTGCTGCTGCTGCGGCTGCTGCGGCTTTAGTAGTTTCCTCACTGCGCTGGTGAAGAAAGCTACTCATCATCGACTGCAGACTGAGGCAGCCGCTGCTGGTGAGCTGCTGCCACTGCTCCTACCACCCCACCCCTGGCCTGCTGCCATGGCAGCCATGAACGCAACGGAGAGCGCACAGGGCCCACAGTGTCTGAGGATGGACGTTGGCGCAGAAAGGCAGAGACCAGCTGACTACATAGGTGGTTTTTATAGTACGTTATTTTGGCCTCCCTCTCAGCAGGTGGTGAAAAAAAAAGGCCACCATTTTTGAACGGTAGCGAGGGTCCAACAAGGTGGACAGCCAAAAGTCATCCCTCTGTCTGATGGTTATTATTATTCGGCTGTCGCTAAGCAAGCAAGCGAGCATGCTGCTATGGGCCATTTGTGCCAAGGAATGCGAGGGACTCCCTGCCTCCTCCATCTCCACAGCATACTGCCACGGTGCGTCTGGGTCCTCTGTCTCCTCCTCCTCCTCCTCCTCCTCTACCAGATGCTCCTGCTCCTCCACTCCTGTCCGCTGAGTGGAAAAAACCACCCATTTCACTCAATAATTCCTGAGCACCAATGTCCTCCTCTACCTCCTCCTCTTCTTCCTGTCCTGCCCCCACAGGGGTCATGTGGCGTTGAGATCTGTGCGCCACGTCTACCGCACCCTGACCAGCCATTGTTAACAGCATTTGTTCCAGGACGTGCAACAGAGGAATGACGTCGTTCATCCCATAGTCCTGCCGACTCACGAATAGCGTGGCCTCCTCAAAGGGCCTGAGCAAGCGCAGGTGTCACGCATGAGCTGCCAATGGCTGACATCTAAGTTACACAGGGAGTACCTTTATCCGCTTGTAACATCAGGAAATCTGTGATGGCCTTTCGCTGTTCGTAAAGGCGGTCTAACATATGTAGGGTTGAATTCCACCTTGTTGCAACGTCACAGCATGAGGAGTCGGTACGGGGGCCCATGGCAGATTACGGGCCTGGCAGCAGCAATGGGAGGCCCGTAATCTGCCAGCACCCTATGACAAAAAATGTAACACACCAGCAGTGTGAGGAGACCTGAAAGTGTGGCACATGGCAGAGTGTGGCGATGGAGACAGCAGCAATGGGAGGCCGTACAGGGACCCATGAGAGACTCTGGACCTGGCAGCAGCAGAGGAGGCGGTATAGGGGGCCCATGGCAGATTAGGGGCCTGGCAGCAGCTATGGGAGGCCCGTAATCTGCCAGCACCCTATGACAAAAAATGGAACACACCAGCAGTGTGAGGAGACCTGAAAGTGGCACATGGCAGAGTGTGGCGATGGAGACAGCAGCAATGGGAGGCCGTACAGGGACCCATGAGAGACTCTGGACCTGGCAGCAGCATGAGGAGGCGGTATAGGGGCCCATGGCAGATTAGGGGCCTGGCAGCAGCTATGGGAGGCCCGTAATCTGCCAGCACCCTATGACAAAAAATGGAACACACCAGCAGTGTGTGAGGAGACCTGAAAGTGGCACAGAGAGTGTGGGATGGAGACAGCTGCAATGGGTGGCACATGGGGACCCATGAGAGACTGTGGACCTGGCAGCAGCATGAGGAGGCGGTACAGGGGCCCATGGCAGATTAGGGGCCTGGCACAGCAGCTATGGGAGGCCCGTAATCTGCCAGCACCCTATGACAAAAAAAAATGGAACACACCAGCAGTGTGAGGAGACCTGAAAGTGGCACATGGCAGTGTGGGCGATGGAGACAGCAGCAATGGGAGGCCGTACAGGGACCCATGAGAGACTCTGGACCTGGCAGCAGCATGAGGAGGCGGGTATAGGGGCCCATGGCAGATTAGGGGCCTGGCAGCAGCTATGGGAGGCCCGTAATCTGCCAGCACCCTATGACAAAAAATGGAACACACCAGCAGTGTGTGTGAGGAGACCTGAAAGTGGCACATGGCAGAGTGTGGCGAGGACAGCTGTGAGGCCGTACCTGAGACACCTGGCAGCAGCATGAGGAGGCGGTACAGGGGCCCATGGCAGATTAGGGGCCTGGCAGCAGCTATGGGAGGCCCGTAATCTGCCAGCACCCTATGACAAAAAATGGAACACACCAGCAGCAGTGTGAGGAGACCTGAAAGTGGCACATGGCAGTGTGGCGATGGAGACAGCAGCAATGGGAGGGCCGTACAGGGACCCATGAGAGACTCTGGACCTGGCAGCAGCATGAGGAGGCGGTATATAGGGGCCCATGGCAGATTAGGGGCCTGGCAGCAGCTATGGGAGGCCCGTAATCTGCCAGCACCCTATGACAAAAAATGGAACACACCAGCAGTGTGAGGAGACCTGAAAGTGGCATGGCAGAGTGTGGCGATGAGACAATGGGAGGCCGTGGGACCCATGGAGACTCTGGACCTGCAGCAGCATGAGGAGGAGGCGGTACAGGGGCCCATGGCAGATTAGGGGCCTGGCTGGCAGCAGCAGCATGGGAGGCCCGTAATCTGCCAGCACCCTATGACAAAAAATGGAACACACCAGCAGTGTGTGAGGAGACCTGAAAGTGGCACATGGCAGAGTGTGGCGATGGAGACAGCAGCAATGGGAGGCCGTACAGGGACCCATGAGAGACTCTGGACCTGGCAGCAGCAGCATGAGGAGGCGGTATAGGGGCCCATGGCGATTAGGGGCCTGGCAGCAGCTATGGGAGGCCCGTAATCTCTGCCAGCACCCTATGACAAAAAATGGAACACACCAGCAGTGTGAGGAGACCTGAAAGTGGCATGGCATGGCATGGAGACAGCTGTGGGACCGTACAGGGACCCATGAGAGACTCTGGACCTGGCAGCAGCATGAGGAGGCGGTACAGGGGCCCATGGCAGATTAGGGGCCTGGCAGCAGCTATGGGAGGCCCGTAATCTGCCAGCACCCTATGACAAAAAATGGAACACACCAGCAGTGTGAGGAGGAGACCTGAAAGTGGCACATGGCAGAGTGTGGCGATGGAGACAGCAGCAATGGGAGGCCGTACAGGGACCCATGAGAGACTCTGGGACCTGGCAGCAGCATGAGGAGGCGGTATAGGGGGCCCATGGCAGATTAGGGGCCTGGCAGCAGCTATGGGAGGCCCGTAATCTGCCAGCACCCTATGACAAAAAATGGAACACACCAGCAGTGTGTGGAGACCTGAAAGTGGCACATGGCAGAGTGTGGCGATGGAGACAGCAGCAATGGGAGAGGCCGTACAGGGACCCATGAGAGACTCTGGACCTGGCAGCAGCAGCATGGGAGGCGGTACAGGGGCCCATGGCAGATTAGGGGCCTGGCAGCAGCTATGGGAGGCCCGTAATCTGCCAGCACCCTATGACAAAAAATGGAACACACCAGCAGTGTGAGGAGACCTGAAAAAGTGGCACATGGCAGAGTGTGGCGATGGAGACAGCAGCAATGGGAGGCGCCGTACAGGGACCCATGAGAGACTCTGGACCTGGCAGCAGCATGAGGAGGCGGTATACAGGGGGCCCATGGCAGATTAGGGGCCTGGCAGCAGCTATGGGAGGCCCGTAATCTGCCAGCACCCTATGACAAAAAATGGAACACACCAGCAGTGTGAGGAGACCTGAAAGTGGCACATGGCATGATGGACACTGCAATGGGAGGCCGTACAGGGACACCTGGACCCTGGCACTGTGGAGCAGCAGGGCAGCAGAGCATGCGGTACAGGGGCCCATGGCAGATTAGGGGCCTGGCAGCAGCTATGGGAGGCCCGTAATCTGCCAGCACCCTATGACAAAAAATGGAACACACCAGCAGTGTGTGAGGAGACCTGAAAGTGGCACATGGCAGAGTGTGGCGATGGAGACAGCAGCAATGGGAGGTACGTACACAGGGACCCATGAGAGACTCTGGACCTGGCAGCAGCATGAGGAGGCGGTATAGGGGCCATGGCAGATTAGGGGCCTGGCAGCAGCTATGGGAGGCCCGTAATCTGCCAGCACCCTATGACAAAAAATGGAACACACCAGCAGTGTGAGGAGACCTGAAAGTGGCACATGGCAGAAGTGGCAGCAGCAATGGGACATGGGACATGAGACACTGTGGACCTGGCAGCAGCATGAGGAGGCGGTACAGGGGCCCATGGCAGATTAGGGGCCTGGCAGCAGCTATGGGAGGGGCCCGTAATCTGCCAGCACCCTATGACAAAAAATGGAACACACCAGCAGCAGTTTGAGGAGACCTGAAAGTGGCACATGGCAGAGTGTGGCGATGGAGACAGCAGCAATGGGAGGCCGTACAGGGACCCATGAGAGACTCTGGACCTGGCAGCAGCATGAGGAGGCGGTATAGGGGCCCATGGCAGATTAGGGGCCTGGCAGCAGCTATGGGAGGCCCGTAATCTGCCAGCACCCTATGACAAAAAATGGAACACACCAGCAGTGTGAGGAGACCTGAAAGTGGCACATGGCAGAGTGTGGCGATGGAGACAGCTGTGGGAGGCCGTACAGGGACCCATGAGAGACTGGACAGGCAGCAGCATGAGGAGGCGGTACAGGGGCCCATGGCAGATTAGGGGCCTGGCAGCAGCTATGGGAGGCCCGTAATCTGCCAGCACCCTATGACAAAAAATGGAACACACCAGCAGTGTGAGGAGACCTGAAAGTGGCACATGGCACAGTGTGGCGATGGAGACAGCAGCAATGGGAGGCCGTACAGGGACCCATGAGAGACTCTGGACCTGGGCAGCAGCATGAGGAGGCGGTATAGGGGCCCATGGCAGATTAGGGGCCTGGCAGCAGCTATGGGGGCACCCTATGGCAAAATTAAAAAATGGAACACACCAGCAGCAGCTGAGGGAGGCCCGTAATCTGCACATGCAGAGTATGACAAAAAATGGAACACACCAGCAGTGTGGAGGAGACCTGAAAGGGCACATGGCATGAGACACTGTGGACCTGGCAGCAGCAGCAGCATGAGGAGGCGGTACAGGGGCCCATGGCAGATTAGGGGCCTGGCAGCAGCTATGGGAGGCCCGTAATCTGCCAGCACCCTATGACAAAAAATGGAACACACCAGCAGTGTGTGAGGAGACCTGAAAGTGGCACATGGCAGAGTGTGGCGATGGAGACAGCAGCAATGGGAGGCCGTACAGGGACCCATGAGAGACTCTGGGACCTGGCAGCAGCAGCAGCAGCATGAGGAGGCGGTATAGGGGGCCCATGGCAGATTAGGGGCCTGGCAGCAGCTATGGGAGGCCCGTAATCTGCCAGCACCCTATGACAAAAAATGGAACACCAGCAGTGTGTGTGAGGAGACCTGAAAGTGGCACATGGCAGTGTGTGGCGATGGAGACAGCAGCAATGGGAGGCCGTACAGGGACCCATGAGAGACTCTGGACCTGGCAGCAGCATGAGGAGGCGGTATAGGGGCCCATGGCAGATTAGGGGCCTGGCAGCAGCTATGGGAGGCCCGTAATCTGCCAGCACCCTATGACAAAAAATGGAACACACCAGCAGTGAGGAGACCTGAAAGTGGCACATGGCAGAGTGTGGCGATGGAGGACAGCAGCAATGGGGGCACACAGGGACCCATGAGAGACTGTGGACCTGGCAGCAGCATGAGGAGGCGGTATACAGGGGCCCATGGCAGATTAGGGGGGCCTGGCAGCAGCTATGGGAGGCCCGTAATCTGCCAGCACCCTATGACAAAAAATGGAACACACCAGCAGTGTGTGAGGAGACCTGAAAGTGGCACATGGCAGAGTGTGGCGATGGAGACAGCAGCAATGGGAGGCCGTACAGGGACCATGATGAGAGACTCTGGACTGGCAGCAGCAGCATGAGGAGGCGGTATAGGGGCCCCATGGCAGATTAGGGGCCTGGCAGCAGCTATGGGAGGCCCGTAATCTGCCAGCACCCTATGACAAAAAATGGAACACACACAGCAGTGTGAGGAGACCTGAAAGTGGCACATGGCATGTGTGGCGATGGAGACAGCAGCAATGGGAGGCCGTACAGGGACCCATGAGAGACTCTGGACCTGGCAGCAGCATGAGGAGGCGGTATAGGGGGCCCATGGCAGATTAGGGGCCTGGCAGCAGCTATGGGAGGCCCGTAATCTGCCAGCACCCTATGACAAAAAATGGAACACACCAGCAGTGTGAGGAGACCTGAAAGTGGCACATGGCAGAGTGTGGCGATGGAGACAGCAGCAATGGGAGGCCGTACAGGGACCCATGAGAGACTCTGGACCTGGCAGCAGCATGAGGAGGGCGGTATAGGGGCCCATGGCAGATTAGGGGCCTGGCAGCAGCTATGGGAGGCCCGTAATCTGCCAGCACCCTATGACAAAAAATGGAACACACAGCAGTGTGAGGAGACCTGAAAGTGGCACAGAGTGTGGCACATGGCATGAGGCCCGTACACTGTGGACCTGGCAGCAGCATGAGGAGGCGGTACAGGGGCCCATGGCAGATTAGGGGCCTGGCAGCAGCTATGGGAGGCCCGTAATCTGCCAGCACCCTATGACAAAAAAAATGGAACACACCAGCAGTGTGAGGAGACCTGAAAGTGGCACATGGCAGAGTGTGGCGATGGAGACAGCAGCAATGGGAGGCCGTACAGGGACCCATGAGAGAGACTCTGGACCTGGCAGCAGCATGAGGAGGCGGTATAGGGGCCCATGGCAGATTAGGGGCCTGGCAGCAGCTATGGGAGGCCCGTAATCTGCCAGCACCCTATGACAAAAAAAATGGAACACACCAGCAGTGTGAGGAGACCTGAAAGTGGCACATGGCATGAGACTGTGGACCTGGCAGCAGCAGCAGCATGAGGAGGCGGTACAGGGGCCCATGGCAGATTAGGGGCCTGGCAGCAGCAGCTATGGGAGGCCCGTAATCTGCCAGCACCCTATGACAAAAAATGGAACACACCAGCAGTGTGAGGAGGAGACCTGAAAGTGGCACATGGCAGAGTGTGGCGATGGAGACAGCAGCAATGGGAGGCCGTACAGGGACCCATGATGAGAGACTCTGGACCTGGCAGCAGCATGAGGCGGGTATAGGGGCCCATGGCAGATTAGGGGCCTGGCAGCAGCTATGGGAGGCCCGTAATCTGCCAGCACCCTATGACAAAAAAATGGAACACACACACCAGCAGTGTGAGGAGACCTGAAAGTGGCACATGGCAGAGTGTGACACTGTGGACCTGCAATGGGAGGCCGTAGGGACCATGAGGACTGGGACCTGGCAGCAGCAGCATGAGGAGGCGGTATAGGTACAGGGGCCCATGGCAGATTAGGGGCCTGGCAGCAGCTATGGGAGGCCCGTAATCTGCCAGCACCCTATGACAAAAAATGGAACACACCAGCAGTGTGAGGAGACCTGAAAGTGGCACATGGCAGAGTGTGGCGATGGAGACAGCAGCAATGGGAGGCCGTACAGGGACCCATGAGAGACTCTGGACCTGGCAGCAGCATGAGGAGGCGGGGTACATAGGGGCCCATGGCAGATTAGGGGCCTGGCAGCAGCTATGGGAGGCCCGTAATCTGCCAGCACCCTATGACAAAAAAAATGGAACACACCAGCAGCAGTGTGAGGAGACCTGAAAGTGGCACATGGCAGAGTGGTGGGCGATGGAGACACTGCAGCAATGGGAGGCCGGCAGGGACCCATGAGAGACTCTGGACCTGGCAGCAGCATGAGGAGGGGGTACAGGGGCCCATGGCAGAGATTAGGGGCCCTGGCAGCAGCTATGGGAGGGCCCGTAATCTGCCAGCACCCTATGACAAAAAATGGAACACACCAGCAGTGTGTGAGGAGACCTGAAAGTGGCACATGGCAGAGTGTGGCGATGGAGACAGCAGCAATGGGAGAGTACAGGGACCCATGAGAGACTCTGGACCTGGCAGCAGCATGAGGAGGCGGGTATAGGGGCCCATGGCAGATTAGGGGCCTGGCAGCAGCTATGGGAGGCCCGTAAATCTGCCAGCACCCTATGACAAAAAATGGAACACACCAGCAGTGTGAGGAGACCTGAAAGTGGCACATGGCAGAGTGTGGCGATGGAGACAGCAGCAATGGGAGGCCGTACAGGGACCCATGAGAGACTCTGGACCTGGCAGCAGCATGAGGAGGCGGTACAGGGGCCCATGGCAGATTAGGGGCCTGGCAGCAGCTATGGGAGGCCCGTAATCTGCCAGCACCCTATGACAAAAAAAAAATGGAACACACCAGCAGTGTGTGAGGAGACCTGAAAGTGGCACATGGCAGAGTGTGGCGATGGAGACAGCAGCAATGGGAGGCCGTACAGGGGACCCATGAGAGACTCTGGACCTGGCAGCAGCATGAGGAGGAGCGGTATAGGGGCCCATGGCAGATTAGGGGCCTGGCAGCAGCTATGGGAGGCCCGTAATCTGCCAGCACCCAGTATGACAAAAAATGGAACACACCAGCAGTGTGAGGAGAGACTGAAAGTGGGAGCACATGGCATGAGACACTGTGGACCTGGCAGCAGCATGCATGAGGAGGCGGTACAGGGGCCCATGGCAGATTAGGGGCCTGGCAGCAGCTATGGGAGGCCCGTAATCTGCCAGCACCCTATGACAAAAAATGGAACACACCAGCAGTGTGAGGAGACCTGAAAGTGGCACATGGCAGAGTGTGGCGATGGAGACAGCAGCAATGGGAGGCCGTACAGGGACCCATGAGAGACTCTGGACCTGGCAGCAGCATGAGGAGGCGGTATAGGGGCCCATGGCAGATTAGGGGCCTGGCAGCAGCTATGGGAGGCCCGTAATCTGCCAGCACCCTATGACAAAAAATGGAACACACAGCAGCAGTGTGTGAGGAGACCTGAAAGTGGCACATGGCACAGTGTGCGATGGAGACAGCAGCAATGGAGGAGGCCTGGGGCCCATGAGAGACAGGGGCCTGGCAGCAGCATGAGGAGGCGGTACAGGGGCCCATGGCAGATTAGGGGCCTGGCAGCAGCTATGGGAGGCCCGTAATCTGCCAGCACCCTATGACAAAAAATGGAACACACAGCAGTGTGTGAGGAGGACCTGAAAGTGGCACATGGCATGAGACACTGTGGGACCTGGCAGCAGCATGAGGAGGCGGTACAGGGGCCCATGGCAGATTAGGGGCCTGGCAGCAGCTGGGAGGGCCCGTAATCTGCCAGCACCCTATGACAAAAAATGGAACACACCAGCAGTGTGAGGAGACCTGAAAGTGGCACATGGCAGAGTGTGGCGATGGAGACAGCAGCAATGGGAGGCCGTACAGGGACCCATGAGAGACTCTCTGGACCTGGCAGCAGCATGAGGAGGCGGTATAGGGGCCCATGGCAGATTAGGGGCCTGGCAGCAGCTATGGGAGGCCCGTAATCTGCCAGCACCCTATGACAAAAAATGTAACACACCAGCAGTGTGAGGAGACCTGAAAGTGGCACATGGCAGAGTGTGGCGATGGAGACAGCAGCAATGGGAGGCCGTACAGGGGACCCATGAGACACTCTGGACCTGGCAGCAGCATGAGGAGGCGGTACAGGGGCCCATGGCAGATTACGGGCCTGGCAGCAGCTATGGGAGGCCCGTAATCTGCCAGCACCCTATGACAAAAAATGGAACCCACCAGCAGTGGAGCTGGTGCTCTACTCCGTGGGCCGTTTGCCTCCACTGACACTGCTGCGACCCTGCTGCCTCCTGGGCAATCCACCGACTGTTTTGCTCGCTGCCAAGCTGCCACTCTCTTCTCCTGATGATGCGGAAGCAATAGCCTGATGACGACGAGGCTGCCAAGTGTGCGATCAGCCTCATCATCATCAATTAGGGTCTCCGCCTCACTACTAGCCCCCTCGGCTGCGTGTGGGGGTCAGAGACAGACCTGTCTCTAGACCGGCTACCGAGCCACTCTCCTCCTCGCCACTACTTCTTCGCCTGGCTGCTGAAGAGGCGGATGTCTCCCCCCGTTCCTGACCGCCCTCTGTTAGCTCTTCCTCACTGTACAGTGGGGCTGAGCCCACAGCATGCGATACTTCGCTTGGTGAGGGAACACCAAAGGACAGGGGGCAGGTCGAGGACACGTGATTTCAGTGGGCTTGCTCCCGGGCCATGCCAACTAACGGTTGTGTCTGACGTACCCACCGACCGTTGGCTGTAGGTGTCAGAGGTGACCTGGGAAGAGGAAGACGACCGAGCCAACCAATCGATGACGGCAGGGTTGTCGGTGGAGACACGACCGCTGGATGACACCGGGAGCACTGGCCTCTGGCTGTGACTAGTGCTGCCTCGACCCCTTCCTCTGCTGCCACGTCTGCTCGCTCGCTAAAACATTGCCTCCTCTGCCACTCCTATGCATGTTGTCTGACATACTCTTTAATTAAACGATTCTGTGTCCCTGAGTAACAATTCTGTGTCTGTCCCTGAGTAACAATTCTGTGTCCCTGAGTAACAATTCTGTGTCCCTCAGTAACAATTCTGTGTCCCTCAGTAACAATTCTGTGTCCCTCAGTAACAATTCTGTGTCTGTCCCTGAGTAACAATTCTGTGTCTGTCGCTGAGTAACAATTCTGTGTCCCTGAGTAACAATTCTGTGTCCCTCAGTAACAATTCTGTGTCTGTCCCTGAGTAACAATTCTGTGTCTGTCCCTGAGTAACAATTCTGTGTCCCTCAGTAACAATTCTGTGTCCCTCAGTAACAATTCTGTGTCCCTGAGTAACAATTCTGTGTCCCTCAGTAACAATTCTGTGTCCCTCAGTAACAATTCTGTGTCCCTGTCAATTCTGAGTAACAATTCTGTGTCTGTCCCTGAGTAACAATTCTGTGTCTGTCCCTAAGTAACAATTCTGTGTCCCTAAGTAACAATTCTGTGGCCTTAGTAACAGTTCTGTGGCCCTCAGTAACAATTCTGTGTCCCTCAGTAACAATTCTGTGTCTGTCCCTAAGTAACAATTCTGTGGCCCTAAGTAACGTTTCTGTGGCCCTAAGTAACAATTCGTTTCTGTGGCCCTAAGTAACGATTCTGTGGCCCTAAGTAACAATTCTGTGGCCCTAAGTAACGTTCTGTGGCCCTAAGTAACAATTCTGTGTCCCTAAGTAACAATTCTGTGGCCCTAAGTAACAATTCTGTTCTGTGTCCCTAAGTAAAGTTCTCTGTGGCCCTAAGTAACAATTCTGTGTCCCTAAGTAACGTTTCTGTGTCCCTAAGTAACGTTCTGTGTCCTAAGTAACGGTTCTGTGTCCCTCAGTAACAATTCTGTGTCCCTCAGTAACAATTCTGTGTCTGTCCCTGAGTAACAATTCTGTGTCCCTAAGTAACAATTTCTGTGTCCCCTGAGTAACAATTCTGTGTCCCTAAGTAACGTTTCTGTGGCCCTAAGTAACGGTTCTGTGGCCCTCAGTAACAAATCTGTGTCCCTCAGTAACAATTCTGTGTCTGTCCCTAAGTAACAATTCTGTGGCCCTAAGTAACGTTTCTGTGGCCCTAAGTAACGTTTCTGTGGCCCTAAGTAACGATTCTGTGTCCCTAAGTAACAATTCTGTTTCTGTCCCTAAGTAACGTTTCTGTGGCCCTAAGTAACGTTTCTGTGGCCCTAAGTAACAGTTCTGTGTCCCTCAGTAACAATTCTGTGTCCCTCAGTAACAATTCTGTGTCTGTCCCTGAGTAACAATTCTGTGTCCCTAAGTAACAATTCTGTGGTCCCTGTAACAATTCTGTGTCCCTAAGTAACAATTTTCTGTGTCCCTAAGTAACGTTTCTGTGGCCCTAAGTAACGGTTCTGTGGCCCTCAGTAACAATTCTGTGTCCCTCAGTAACAATTCTGTGTCTGTCCCTAAGTAACAATTCTGTGGCCCTAAGTAACGTTTCTGTGGCCCTAAGTAACGTTTCTGTGGCCCTCTAATAACGATTCTGTGGCCCTAAGTAACGTTTCTGTGCCCTAAGTAACGTTTCTGTGGCCCTAAGTAACGGTTCTGTGGCCCTCAGTAACAATTCTGTGTGTCCCTCAGTAACAATTCTGTGTCCCTGAGTAACAATTCTGTGTCCCTAAGTAACTGTTTCTGTGGCCCTAAGTAACGGTTCTGTGGCCCTCAGTAACAATCTGTGTCCCTCAGTAACAATTCTGTGTCTGTCCCTAAGTAACAATTCTGTGGCCCTAAGTAACGTTTCTGTGGCCCTAAGTAACGTTTCTGTGGCCCTAAGTAACGATTCTGTGTCCCTAAGTAACAATTCTGTGTCCCTAAGTAACGTTTCTGTGCCCTAAGTAACGTTTCTGTGGCACTAAGTAACGTTTCTGTGGCCCTAAGTAACAGTTCTGTGGCCCTCAGTAACAATTCTGTGTCCCTCAGTAACAATTCTGTGTCTGTCCCTATGTAACAATTCTGTGTCCCTAGTAACGTTTCTGTGGCCCTAAGTAACGGTTCTGTGGCCCTCAGTAACAAATCTGTGTCCCTCAGTAACAATCCCTCCCTAAGTAACAATTCTGTGTCTGTCCCTAAGTAACAATTCTGTGGCCCTAAGTAACAATTTCTGTGGCCCTAAGTAACGTTTCTGTGGCCCTAAGTAACGATTCTGTGTCCCTCAGTAACAATTCTGTGTCTGTCCCTAAGTAACAATTCTGTGTCTGTCCCTGAGTAACAATTCTGTGTCCCTAAGTAACGTTTCTGTGGCCCTAAGTAACAGTTCTGTGGCCCTCAGTAACAATTCTGTGTCCCTCAGTAACAATTCTGTGTCTGTCCCTAAGTAACAATTCTGTGGCCCTAAGTAACGTTTCTGTGGCCCTAAGTAACAATTCTGTGTACCCTCAGTAACAATTCTGTGTCCCTCAGTAACTATTCTGTGTCTGTCCCTAAGTAACAATTCTGTGGCCCTAAGTAACGTTTCTGTGGCCCTAAGTAACGTTTCTGTGGTCCCTAAGTAACCTGTGTCCCTCAGTAACGATTCTGTGTCCCTCAGTAACAATTCTGTGTCTGTCCCTAAGTAACAATTCTGTGTCTGTCCCTGAGTAACAATTCTGTGTCCCTAAGTAACGTTTCTGTGGCCCTAAGTAACAGTTCTGTGGCCCTCAGTAACAATTCTGTGTCCCTCAGTAACAATCTATGTCTGTCCCTAAGTAACAATTCTGTGGCCCTAAGTAACGTTTCTGTGGCCCTAAGTAACAGTTCTGTGGCCCTCAGTAACAATTCTGTGTCCCTCAGTAACAATTCTGTGTCTGTCCCTAAGTAACAATTCTGTGGCCCTAAGTAACGTTTCTGTGGCCCTAAGTAACGTTTCTGTGGCCCTAAGTAACGATTCTGTGGCCCTAAGTAACGATTCTGTGGCCATAAGTAACGTTTCTGTGGCCCTAAGTAACGTTTCTGTGGCCCTAAATAACGATTCTGTGGCCCTAAGTAACGTTTCTGTGTCCCTAGTAACGTTTCTGTGTCCCTAAGTAAAGTTTCTGTGGCCCTAAGTAACGTTTCTGTGTCCCTAAGTAACGTTTCTGTGGCCCTAAGTAACGTTTCTGTGTCCCTAACTAACGTTTCTATGTCCCCTAAGTAAGGTTTCTGTGTCCCTAACTCTCTCCCTGAATACAGCCAGGTCTGCCTCTGTTGAATGACTGGAGGCAAATGGAGAATATTAAAATGGCCGCCATTTATAGCTCGACCATTACACAGTGCTGGCTGGCTGGCTGCTGATTGGCTAACGCGATCACATGTCATGAATGAATGCATTATGGGTCAGCGTGCCTTGTCTGCGCGCCTTCCCAGACATCCCCGCTCCGTCGCCGCACATGTCGCCGCCATTTTAGGAAAAATTTCGATTCGCGCATCCGAAGTCTGCTTATTTTCGGATTCGGCGAAAATTTTTCTAATATTCGAAACGAATTCCACTTCGCCTACTTCGATTTGCTCATCTCTAGTACCATACCCTATTGTATTTCCAGGGGCAGCCCTGATTTATATAGGTTAACTTATACATGGGTAGGGCCACATCAACATGGTCTCCCAGGATGACAACACAGGAGAGACAGCAGAGGTCCACTTAATTAAGGTTTCTTTTTTAGTATAGTACAAGAGATATGAGATCAACAATTTTGTATGGTGAGAATGCTGAGCGTCCTCATGAATCCCCAGGAGGGCTAATTTTGGGAAGGTCGACAATAGACAATTGCAGCCGTGGATTGATGACCTTGGATTTTATACACATTTCTAGATCCCGTTACATCCTGATTTAAAAGTAGAGTGGTTTGAAAGAACAATTTGCAATTTGCTCTGTCTCTCCTTCTCATCTAATATGGTTTTAAGCAGCTTAAAACTCCAATTCTTGCTGACAATCCTTACCAGGACAAGGAAAATGGGTGAATCTACCTTTGATAAGGGTTCTAATCCTTTCCTACTCTATCCACAACTAGAAACAATATTTGGCTACACATACACTATAAAGAAGGCAGTGTAATTAGAACTTCTTTTTACCAACCTTTAAAAATGAATCACATATTCACTTTTCCTTTGTTTAGATCTATTTAGATCAGGCAGGACATAACTCACTGGATGCCATTACACTACACCCTGCTTGTGCCTTCTTATATACACCAAACTGTTAATGCTTAGGATAGAAGTTTTTCAATGATTTCAGCTCATTGTAATCTAGCATTTATCATCAGACATACAACATACAATTCTTCAGGACAAGCTTTTGGGGTATGCCCCCTTTATTCTTAAAGTGGATAAACCCATATACATCTTGGACCTTGAAGAAGGGGATATACTCAGAAATTGTTAGTGCAAATAAAAAAAAGTATCATGGACAGTACTCAATTGTTTCTGTCTCAAGTGCACTAATAGGACTACAATCACCTAATCAGACATTCAAATTCAAAGAGATTGTTGTTGGTGGACACTGGAGCTTACAGTACAGCCCAAGGCTTGGCACCACATGCTGCCCTGCTCCCTGATCTCCTATCACCTACACTCCATTTCAGTAGCAAGTGTCATGGACAACTACAAAGCAGACCTTACATCAATGTAGCACTACCCCCTTAGGAGACGCTAAAAGATTTGGGTCCCCCTATAGTCCTGCACAGCCAGGCATCGTACATCTTCACATAGGCTTGCATCCAGAGTCAGAGATCAGCCCTTGAGCTTTGGTTTTGTTGTTTTATTTAGGGAATTTGAACAAGGATAGGATGAGGGGTGTACAGGATGCCCAAGTGTACTGATAAACTGAGGACAACTTTCTGGAACTATTTACAAGCCTTCTCTGCAACAGAGTCTCAGCTGGAGAGCTAGCCAGCGTCTCCTTATTGTACTACCCCATATCTTAGATAAACTTCTCCTCTTCACCCAGCAATCTGGAGTTATCCTTTAAGAGATGAACAGTCACTGGCAGGTGTCTAAAACTGGTTGTCCACCAGAGTGCTCCTTCCCCTATCCACCCAGGGTTTGTAGATGTACTCCTGTACTGCTTGTGGGTTGGTGGCTGCTACCAGGCCTATCAGCTAGGCAGATCATTCCCTACCATACAGGTGGTCCTCTCTCAGGGGGTCGGTGTCAAGGTCCTACCTTTTCCCAGAGGTTATGTTACTCCATGTGCTGGCATCCATCTTGGATTTTTGCTGAGCATGGTGGGAATCCTTTATGCCTTCAGGTCTCTGAGGTCCATCCCCCAGAGGGGTGTGGCTGAGTACATATAAGCCTGTGATCCGCACATGCTCTTTGCACTTGTGTCTTGTGTCTTTGTCTTGCTACAGCTCTGTGTATATGCTCGTGACTCTTCTGGTATTTGACTCGGCTTGTGACTAAGACTATTCTCTGTGTTTTCCTTTGATCTGACCTTCCGTTGCTGAACCCGGCCCGTGACCTGTTATTCTCTGTCTACTGTTCTGTACCGTTTTGTCCCGTTGTTGTCGACCCGGCTTGCCTGACTACGCTATTGTCATTCTCACCAGCTACACGCCATTGGCGGCGGCCATTACCACAGCCGGGGTGTCTCGGGGGCCGCGACCTGGTTCCTGGCTGCGTCAAGTCCATCCCCACCATCAGGGGCCTGGTGAAGGGCAGCCTGGGACTTAGACTCCGCGCCCTGAGGGACTTCGGTCTGTTGGTGGTGGTTGTCGTCAGCCAGTGCGTTACCCTGCCACTAGGCCTACCTGTCCATTCCACAGCCCTGCCCTGACAGTCGGTGAGCTCTGAGCTTTCCTCAGCTTAAGCCCTGCAGGTAGGCCCCATCCCACTGGGCCTCCTCACAGCCACCTTCCTTCAGCCTCACATCTTCCTCTCTATCTCCCACCCAAACTCTCCCTCCACTCCTGCTACTGAGCAGGCTCTAAAACTTTAAAGGGTGTCCAGCCCCTTGCCAAGCTTTCTGTGGGGGATTGGCTAGGACCCCTGCAAGCCAGTCACTCCTTAGATCCACCCACTGCCTCTAGAGCCTTCCTCCAAAGACCTAGAGTAGGGGTAAATTCCAGAGAGGCTGACCTGCAGAGCCTCTCAGCTCCTGACCATGATTTGACCTTCTGGCTGTTATAACCAGGCTGCTACTCAGCCTTCCTCACCACCAATTTAACACTAGCTCACCCTAGCTAAAATAGGAAGGTGAACCAACATTTTGACTTTTTTGTTCCATTTTTGAAAAAGTTAGTCCAATAATCCATAAAAGATAAGTTTACCTTTTGTAACATGTTACACCCATATTTAGGGTGTAACATGTAGCATGCTACGATCGGGCCAGCCCCCGCACCCTCCTCCCATCCCCTTTGTGACAGCTAGCAGGGGATCTTCTCCTCTCCACTAGCTGATACAATTTTTTTAAATGTATCTGTGCGGGGCTCTGCCTGCCCAGCGCTGTCACTCATTCACAGTATTCTGTGAATGGGAAAACTACAAGTTCTGACTGCCTTTGTGGCTGTTGGCTTGTAGAGCTGTAAGTGCTGTGGTAGTTTATTGAGCCTGTCAGTAAGTATATACGAGGAAGCAGATATACTGACAGACCTGAATGGCACCAGCGAACTTCTGATTGCTGGTACAATGCTTTAGAGGCCCCATAAGCAACAAATAATAAATGCACATTTTTTCTACCTGCAAAAAGATGTGCATTTCTTATTTTTTGTTAAAAGGCATTCTTATCCACTAAAACTTGCATTTATCTATTATTTTAATTTTCTCTGCATTGTCTGTTTTGAGGATTTTCTCTGTGAAGGTTTTCTTCAAACTGTGACAGATAATAATATATTAAAAGTACGCAGGTAATGTCATATAATTTAAAATCAGCTTATTCTTAAAGTGGATAAACCCATATACAGCAAGTAATCTCTAGAATTATCCTTGATGCTTCTGTATTTACTGAAGTAAAATCCATAAAAATGTAGCTGTTTTTATCTTGTGGCATTGATTTTTATCAGTTAACCATCTGCCAACATAGCACATGGCTCTTCCAATATCTACATTCAGTTTTGTGTTTACAGAATTATGTCAATGTGACCATGTGCTAATCCTTTATACCCATCTTACTAAAAGTTGATAGTCATGGTCAGTGATGAATGAAAAGAAGGACCACGTACCTGCTGTGGAGTTCCATGGAAAGGAGGAGCAACACTGGAATCCCATTGCCTCCCCTGTCTCCTGTTTAGGCAGGCAGGCAGCCCTGACAGTACTGTACATTGCACTATATCCAATGTTAAGTTAAATAACTGAAATATACACAGTTCTCGAGGTTGTTGCGATAGGCTTCAAGCCTTTATATGACCACGAGTAATAGGGATGAAAAGGGACTACACAGAAATCCTTGCAAAAACAGAAGAAATTTGCTGCTCTATGAAAAACTGTTTTGCTTTACATACACTTTAAGGGCTTGTTCACACTTGTGTAAATGCTTTGTATTTATGTGACATTTATTCAGTATTCTTAAAGCCTCATAGGCACCCTTCAACACTTGCCTTGAATATTGCAATGGGCACCACAAAGTGCAGTTTACATAGGAGTG